GGTCCAGAACTATCCCCCAGAGCCAGGGTCTCCTGTCCAAGGCTTTATTGGTCCGGGTGGGTGGTCATAGTACTTGTGACTCCACATGAACCCACGCTTGGATGTCCCATGCCGGCTCTGTTTTCATGGGTGCCAAAACGCTTGGGGATGCCATTCACGCCGTTGCCAGGCAGGTTTCAACATGATCCATGCTGGTTTTCGTCATAGGGGCTCAACTGGTCGTAGGGTTTATGTGCTAAGTGCCCAAAGTGGTCGTTGAAACCAATTCAGCAACCAAACCCGATACCGGAAAGCAGGGTTTATCTGTGCCCTTTGGGTGCAAGGAAGCCGGCAGCTTTCATGGTTTCTGCGAGGGCTGCATCAGCCAATTTGCCTTCTTTTGAAAGCTCTGACTTTTGTTGGGCCAATCCACTCAGCCTTGCCCTCTTTGGTACTTTCATATCCAGATGGGCAAAAACGCACGGGAACATGATGGTTTCTGAAGCGAACAACACAGAAAGATGGGCGAAGAGCGTGGGGATTGAACCACTAGACGTTTGACGCCTTTCTTGGGGGGGGGGGGGGGATGACAAAGGTGCTTCCAATAATTAGGAGTCTTTGTGCTGCACTTAGAGGGAAGTCGCAACCGACTGTTTGGTGCCTTACCTGTCAAACACCAAACTGGGTCTTCAACTTGCTCATACATCTGGGCAATCCAAATTGCTTTCTGCCTCTTTTCAAGCCGAAGAAAGGAAACACAAACAAGGAAAGATAAGGAAAGGCACTGTCTTTCCATCAACCCTGTCCGTAGGGAAAACAAGACACACACTACTGAACCCCCCCCCCGCCCCCCGCCTGCCGCCTTCAAGAAGCCCCGATTCTCCGGCACCGGCTCCTGAAAAAAAAAGAAGAGCAAAGCGGCAGCCTGCAACTCACGAGCAGAATCAGGCCTACCCACACCTGTGGATTTCCATAGGGGAAAATTGGCACCCTGTTCTTGGCAGTTGATCAGAATGGGGAGCGACCCCCCCTCCCCCCAAAAAAACGCTGGGGAGCTGCGTTGCTCTGGATCCGTCAGGTTCGATAAGCGGGACGCAGATGTCTCTTGGGCCCCAGATTTGTCAAACGCCTGCGTTGAGAAAGCAAAAGACAACGGGCGTCACGGGTCTGATGCAAGCACATGTTGAACCATGATCGCTGTGCCTTAGGTGCCAACCAGTGGGCTGATGTCATTCAACAGGCCAATCCGGATGGAACCATGGCCCTATTCCTTTTAATATGACAATGACATGCGCGCATCCGCCCACAGGAAACCTGCCCGCTGTTCGTGCACGCTACTAAACCGCAATGAACTACAAGGGGTTACAGAGAGCCCGACATGGCGCCTTGGTAAATGGCACAAGACCTGCGTCACCCTAGCCATCAGATCGCTGGACGTAAATCCCCAGCGACTCCTCCGACTCACTGGGCCCCAGGGAGAGGTATGACCTGAGGCCCAGGAACTGGACCACATCCTCAGGGAGCGCCACAAACTCAGCGCGAAGCCACGGTGGGTCCTTCTTGATAAAAAGGCTGTTGGGTTGGTTTCAATGACACGCCAAAGGAAAGCAAGTCATTTTCAGGTGTCGCCCATCTTGAGACACATGGTGGGTTTGCTTCCAAGTGAAGGAAACCCCAAAAAGGGTATATGGCATCCTCAGAAAACAAAACAACACACACGCGCAATCGAAGGTCTGGACCCCCATCCCCGAGCCTTTTCCAGGGTACCACGCCTTCTCGAAGAAAGAAGATGACACGGGAAAATTGAGAGAGCACGATGGCCCTGGGAAAGCACGGTGCCCAATCTTACTGAGAGGTACCAATTAGTTGGGCACATGGTTTTCCCAGGGTCGCAGTCCTGACTCATTTTTTGACAAGGCACGCTTTGCTGAGGGAGCCCGCAAAATTCAGAGAACGTTCGGACACGCAAAACGACAAAGGCAAGCACGCGCAAACACACATGAGCATTGTTTGTTTAGGGGTTCAAGGCTTATACACGGCTGGGGAGGCTACGTGGGGGGCTTCGCGGGGCTAGAATTCGTGGAAGGGTTGGCTTCATAATGAAAACGTTCCGCATGATTTCTAGCTAAACCGGGCCTGAAACGCACAGTGCTCCTGCGGTTGTCTTCCTGTAATCTTCCTGTAGTCTTGTCGTAGCCTTCTGACTCTAAACATCAACCTTTGGCATGCTACTGTCATAAAAGCACACAACACACTTGCCATGAAAGCACATAACACACTCCAACCACGAAGTGGCTTTGCAAAGTGGCTTCGCCTGTGTCAATGTCACCGGGCTACGCGCATTGGCTTCGCGGGTCTTCGCGGCACACAACGTATCACACAAGTGCCCACGAAGCTAAAACCCATCATCTGAGAAGAAACGCTGCTAACATGTGGCTGTATGTCAGACCGAGTTGCCCTCTAAAAGGGTGGCTTCCTTTATGGAGGACTCATTTTTTGCAGGCGATCATTTCCTGGTCCCTTGTATTGACCCATGGTTTCTCAACAACAACAAAAACAAACGGGGAACAAACAACTAATCATGGCGTGGTTTCCTGTTCGATTCCTGTTGAACCACCCGAAAGGGGTTGAGAGACACCAACGCAAGGGCTGGCGGCCCCTTATTTGGCGGAACCCCTTTCCGGCCGTCGCCATGGAACTCCCCAAAGCCCGGCACGCTCGGAATTCTGGGCATGGGATATTCATGACATAAAGAGGACCCGGCCAAAGTTGGTTGCCAGAGACCACAGGAACCAAAGGAACACAAAAACCACCTCTTGTGGTTGGATCATCTGTTGAGTCATGATCAAACCGGATATTAAAGAGCTGCACCCCAAAACAATGGTAAAGAGTGAGTATCTTATGAAGCGACTGTCCCCTAAGCCAAATTGCCCATGCTTGCTTGTACCTCAGTTGAGTGCAGGGTTTCATCTTTTGGTTGCAAGACTTCCCCCCAGGAACTCGGCGAAACCCTCGCGAGCCGCGACTCGCGCCTGGAAGTGCTCTGCATGGTTTGGCGGCGCCACTGGTGCCGAAACCGCTGTGCCTTGCGACCCATGACATGGAGCCCAAAAAAATGGGCTGTGGATCATGTCGCTGCTCACTGTGTGCGTGTATTCTCCCCCCCCCCCCCCCGGCCCGAGGCCCCGAGCCCCCGGATCCTGGCACTTACGGTCCCACCCCCCACCCCCTGAACTCGCACCCCAACACCCCGGCAGCCCCACCCCCAGGACAAGCCAACCCGCAACCAACCATAAACCAACCCTAAACTAACCCTAAACCAACCCTAAATACACCCTAAACCAAACCCTAAACCGTAGACCTCTAAACCTAAAGCGACACTAAATCAACATAAACCAACCCTAAACTAACCCTAAACCAACCCACAACTAACCCCAATTACACCCTAAACCAATCCCTAAACAATAAACCCTAAACCTAAACCAACCCTAAACTAACCCTAAACCAACCCTAAATACACCCTAAACCAAACCCTAAACCGTAGACCTCTAACCTCTAAACCTAAACCAACCCTAAATCAACATAAACCAACCCTAAACTAACCCTAAACCAAACCTAAACTAACCCCAATTACAGCCTAAACCAATCCCTAAACAATAAACCCTAAACCTAAACCACCACAACCCAACCACAGGACAACAACCACACTGGGGGGGGGGGACTTGTCTGCCCCATGACCAATTGGCGGGGGGGGGGGACTGGCAACGCTGTACCATATATATATACATATATATATATTATCGTATACAAACATAAGCACGAAATATTCGCATTCTACACATCCATACATCATGCCTCATCACAATGTTTAGATGGCATGGAACTCCTTTTATTGGGAACACCAGCATAACTAACCCTGAAAGCTCTTTCAGCAAAACGCCCTTCATCTATCGACCCACAGCAATCAATCAATTGCCGCTTTCCGATTCCGGTCACGTAGTTTATTGGGACCTCTGGATGAATCAACCGCTTGATGAACGGGTGTCCCGTTCATTTCAGAGGGAACCCGGATCACTTTGGACTTCACCAGGTCGAGGAAAATCCCTGGTGTCGACCTCCGGCATCCGGGGCGCCGATCTTCGAGTCCCTGAGCCAGGCGAGGATGACGTCGAAGACCTCCGGCTCGATGTCCAGAAAGATGTGGCCCGCCTTGTCCCGCAACAGCGAGTCGTCCCACCTCGTTTGCAGCACATTGACTCGCGAGGGCGACACGACAGACCGAGTTCACGATGCATGCCGTTCTAAATTGCAAATGGCTGGTAAGCAACATCTTCCAATTAGTCCAACTCTCGGTTGTTCCACGAGTAGCGGCAAAGGATGAAACCCGCAAGGCACAAGGCCAAGCGGAAAGCAGAACACCCTACACCCTCCATTCCAAGTTGGAGTGGGAGCATACCCCCAAGAAGTCGTCTGGCCGAGAATTAAACGTCTGAGAGCATCCAGACCTCCCAAACCTCCCATTGCACGGGCGAGCGGCTTGCTCAGCGAGTGCCCCTGAGTATGAATTGTTGGTCTTCCGAAACTGTTTTTCTAGGAAACTACCGGACCCTAAAAGAGTGAGTCTGCATTTTCGTGGACATTCGACTGGGCCTCCATTTCCAAACAAAAGGGACACCGACGGTTCACACTCGAGACCTCATGCATAATAATATTGCCCTCCCAAGCAGAACATCAAATTAGCAAGGACCTTACTCAAAACGGTCAACCAAACAAGAATGGGTCTATGGCGGGCCAAACATGGTACCCAAAATGACACCCTGGTAAATGGAAACAAAGACCTAAACCTGCGTAGCCCTAGCTCTCGAATTTTGAGCCACACCCATTTCGCATTTCCAGACTCTGAAAGGGCAGGCGCCTGCCAGAAAAGAGCTCCGCCAGGAACGAGCCGCGGCAGAGGCAGAGCGTCTCGCGCTTCACGGTGTACATCTTGCCGCCCACCTCGGATCTGAGAACGCGATGGCTGGGGCCAGAGTGATATCCTCGATAATATCCAAATTAGAATGGTTCAAAGTGGTTTCAAGGGCCTCCCCCCCCCCGCTAATAAAAAAGAAGAAGAAAGACTGACAAGTCCGACACTTGTACCCCGCCTTTCGCCTTCCGCCTTCTGCCTTCGCCGCAACTCCCCACTCCCCACGAAGCGCTTCACGCGCCGCGCCGCGTCCAGGGTCACCACGTCCTGGGGCCGCATGTCCTTGGCCAGCTGCCGCCGCGCCGTCCGCTCCGCCAGGATCTGCTTCAGCTCCTCGCGCCCAAGACTTCGAATGCGCGCCCCAAGATGCGCCGAGGAAAAGCGACAAATTCACGCTGCAAAACGCGGGGCAGCCGAGGAAAACGCCCGGACAGTGCGCACAAAAAGGGCGAATGAGTCAGAGAACCGTGGAACGTAGAGCCTCAACTTTGCTCCTTGCCTTTTGCTTGGTCTTGCCCCGAAGCAGAAAAAAGTTGTTGGTAATTGTTTGGCCCAGCCAGAAAAGGGGGATTTACCGATTGCAGAACCTACCCGGACAAAGCTATAGGACGTGTCTACTGGCCTACGAAAGACAAATGGAAAACAAATGAAAATACTCATATTCAAAAAGGGTAGGTTGCCGCAACTATGCCTGGACAAAAAAAGTGTCCTGTACTATCAATCGTCCATGCCGGCTTTGACTGGGTCTCACGTGTCACTGTTAAGCGCCGAACAACAAACGTTAGGCGCCTTTGTCCGACATCAAAAGTGGAGGTTGACGATTCAAAACCTGCCGTTGAGCAAAAAAAAACACCCTCTTTTAACTTTTCTGTGGCACCGCCGGCTTTCACGAACCACCAATCTTTGTAGTCGCCACCTGGCACCCCGCATGGCCGTTTGTTTCTTCCGGCCAAACCCTTTATTTTGCCATATTTGTCCGTATGAACATTTGTTTCCCGTCATTGGCGTATACGACCCATGTAAATTCCGTACTTTTTCCACATGTTGTTGAAAAGAACCGCGCAACAAGCCGTATGACCATGTTTTCGGTTGCGACCAAAACAAACAACCCTCTAAGCGAAAATCCTTTAATTTTAAAGGGTCAAATGGGAAAACCCTTGTTTTTGGGCAAGTTTTGGAAAAATAAAGGCTTTCCAGGGAAAAACCCGGTATTTTACTTACATCCTTTATTTTGGCACTTTTCGCAAGCGAAATGTCGGATGTTTGAAGAACAGAGCAAAGGTGCCGGATCTCGAGCAGGTGTTGAAAGGAGCCGCCAGGTTTCTTTCACTGCCAAATTGTATATTGGGGTTCTAGATTTTTTTTAAGGAATCTCTTGTGGTTCCTTTTGTACCGCCAAGTGCGCGATAGCCCCCTGCTCCTCAAGATTGGAGCTCAAAAGGCAGGGGTAGACGCGAGGGCGTGGTCAACTAAAACTTAAGAATGAAGCGGGACAACCAACTTGAATGTACAAGTGTGCAGTTCACTACATGACCATCAGTAGCTCTGCGTGATTGACACATCATGCTCAAGCATGGTACTTTTTTTGTATTTTTAAAACATCAGGCAGTATCCCAAAGTGGCACTTGCGTTCGTTACTCGGCTCGGCGCACAAGCCAAATGCCAACAAAGCTGGCCTCCGCCTAAGTCGCACTTTCTTCCAGCACCTAACTTTGATTCGATGGGAAGCACAGTCCAAGCCAAACATGTTGCGTAGTACGTGTTTGCCCGAGAACCTTCGGATTTCTACCGCAATGTCATACAAAACCAGTTCGCTGCTCGCGCAATCTAGCTGTGTGCCCGCTTTTCTTTGCTGGAAAGCTTCTGGAAGGGCGAGCGCGTGCGAAACAAAGGAAACCCATAAAAATCCCATACGAATCCCATAAAAATCCCATACAAACCCATATTTTTCCAAAAACCAGGTTTTTCCTAACCCGTACAAAAACCGTACAAACCCCATAAAAATACCGTACAAACCCGTACGCAATTTATGGGATTTTCAACCTCTGCTCAAGCAGCTTTCCAGGCCCGAGCTGCCCGAAATAAGCTTGCAAGGTGACCCTGCGAAAAGCAGTCATTCATGTGTTCGTCCCACGCGTCTTTTACTACCTGCTGTCCAGTGTTCAAAGTGGGTTAGGTTCTTTTGGCTCGCTCCAAAAATGATGTTCCTGCGACGTTTTAGACAAGCCTGCGAGAAGCTCCGGGATCAATGCTTTAGCACGGGACTTGGTTGTCAAACAAGTGAGCATTTGCAAGACGGCCCTCCAAACGTATCCGACGCGAGCTTTACGCAAACAGTCCCAAGCAGATTGCTCAGTGCCATACACAATATGTATACACGTGCAGCTACCGCTTGCGGTAAACTGGGACTACTTGTTGCCCTTGTCAGAAAGTTCATATTCCAATGCTGTTTTAAACTTCCCGAGCCACGATCTGGGAAGCCTTCCCAACAAATTGCGGATTGACCATTGTTTCGAGTTCAGCAGGTGATTTGCAACAGGTGCCATGCTCAATGAGCTTGCTTGGATGGGATTGCTAGGCGGCCGTGGACCGGAGCGTTTGACTGGATGTAAGAGAGCCAACAAAAGGATTATATTGAGGGAACCACCATCATAACTCACGCAAGACCATTCGGATTACAACGCAAAAAGTAAAAACCCGGTGTTTCCGGGAAAACCCTGGATATTTTGCCATACCTTTAAAATAAACGGATATTTGCTTAGAGGGAACGGCTAATATGGAGTCCACGGCATGGATAATCCATCCACAGGCCAGATTCCTGGATCGACAAAAACGCATCAACCACATTGCGGGGCAGGCTCTAAATGGAGTACAGCTTGCCAACTCTGGCCCGAGTGGAGGGTGTTATGGATATCCCTTGAAACCGTTCTCAAAAAGGCCGCTTTGCTAATTTCAGGCAATATGGCAAGTCCGAGCATCTCAGCTCGTTTCACGGAAGCTTCACGACCGGACCCAAGAAATGGCCTCAAAACTGTCGCTTTGCTTTCCCTTCAAACACCAACCGCAAGGTGTCCCCCCGAGTCATTTGGATGCCCCCGGATCAAGATTCACCAACAAACTTTTAGCAAAGGCGGGCACAAGACTACTCCCAACACAAACGAAAGTTGTTCTTTGGCAATCAACATTTCTGTGTAGAACCGCCAAAATAGAAGATATCCTCAAGGCTGTTCAAGACCAATGGCTGGAAATTCTGACCCTGCCTTTTTCATGTTTCCGCCTAGGTCACCAAAGGGTCCCAGGGGCTTTCGGCTCCTCCTCCGCGTTGAAGAGGCGTTGGGAATATTCGGTGTGCAGCTGGACACGCTGTGCCTGGAGACCAAACATGGGCTCCTTGTGGTTGACCGACACACCTATATATTATGTACAGATATATTATATATATGTAATATTCCATTTGCTTGAGTCCAGTAGTGGTTGCTTCCCTGTAAAACCAAGAAGGGAAAACACCATTTTTTCTTTAGCAAATGGCAAATATGAGTGTCTTTTTCTGAGGCTACCCTTGTTGAAGGGAAACCAACAGAATGGGGCTCCCTAAAAAACGGCCATGTTGCCGGTGGCAAGAACACAGGCGCCTGGTCCCCAAAAGCCATGGCTGCCATGCCGCTGCGGACGGACCATGTCAACAGTCAGCCCCTCACGTGCATTGGTGAGAGAAAACCAAAGCCACCTAAGGGCGCTCGAAATCAATGTCGCCCGTGGGCCCCATGATCTGCCGATGGCAGCAAAACAAAACACGACCCGCCACAATGCACAATGAACAAACAAGCATGCGGCGAATTCGAGCAGCGACCCGAGCAGCGACCCCAAGGCTCAAGTACCGAGGAGATATTATTCTTGCGCGTGAGTTGACTGCGACTTATGCTGTAAAGCACATATGGGCATGGTTCAACATTCAACCATCAGGGGAACGCAGGTGTTAGTCCTTGTTTCCATTTACCAGCTCATGCTCAGGCATTGTAGAGCAACATGATGTTGACCCGAAGGGATCCCTCATCACTGCTGGTGCAACCAATGGATTCCTTAGCCTCAAGCTTTGGGAACCTCGTGATGGGCACTTAGTTTATTTTGCGGGCCCTAACCCTGATCCGGATTAATCCCGAAAATGTGTATATATATATATAATATACATATTGTGGATCACCTGAGTGTATTTTAACCCTAGTTACAACAACGAATCTTGATCCCATCACGTGTCCCGATCCTCAAACTCCAGCCGCGTCTTCTCCTTGTCCTCAAGCAGCTGGCTACGACGCTGCCGCACCACCCTGGGAATCGACAAGGCGAGCCGGGCAAAACCAGCCTCAATCTCAGAGACCCTGAACGAAATCTGACAAACCCATCCGTCGGAAAACAACCAAAAAAAGTATCCTTGCTGCACAGCTTCTTTTGTTGAATGCTTACATTGAAGCGCCTTACAAATCGGTTGTCTGAAGATTGTTGGGCAAGTGACGATCTGCCGTTGGGGCGGTGTCAATCATTGAACAATGAACAATGCGATGTCGGTCGACTACAATCTCTGCCCAATGAAGTGGGCCTTGGCCTTCGAACAGTGGCATTGACATGCATCAACTCTCGCAGTACGTTTGCCTTCTAAGCTAGCATACATATATATATATATATACATACATACATACATTTACACGTATACGTTTAATCCATATTGTGTAATCTGTGCTTACATCGACCGCATGCTCCAAGTATGAAGTGCCACATCATCAAAGATACGGTTGCCTGACAAGCTCATCTGCGAGCTCATCCACGCGCTCACGCTCGGGGCCAGCATTGGCTGTATCGGCCATGGCATCGGAGTGATCGCGTCCGGGAGTGAGGCTCTGATTCTTTCGTCGGTTTTGTGAGGGCAAGCAGAAACAAACATAGGTCTTCCAGCCCCAGGTAGCGAGTGCAGTGGTTGACCTCCCCATCAAGCAAACTAATGCACAAAGAAATGCTGACAGGTGGTGTCGATTCCCAGCTCGGGCAGCCTTCGGATGCGTTGGTCATCTAGCCCAGGCGTAGGTGTGTGTGTGTGTGTGAGCAGGGTTCACCTCCCGACCAAATGGTGTCGATTCCCAGCTCGGGCTCGGAAAATGTACCCCGTCGTGCCTACATTTGATTGAAAGCACTGTGTTTGGAACATGGTCTCAACAACCCATTGCCTGCTGCGGGAAGGGGCCCGTCACAACCTTGCAGCTACCCAAACGCTGAGACGCCGTGCATTTGCCGCGGATTCAGCTTGCAAACGGCTTTGAGGCTGCGAGCAGGCAAAATCACCCACCAAATGTTGGGTGCAAGAACCAGGGAAGATGGAAGCGAAACCAAGTCAGGGTCTGTTCCACTCAGGGAGCCTTCACTTTTGGAAAAGAACACCCCCTATTCCGCCACCAGATCATCCTGGCTGACATACTTGCCCAGTCCTGGACTCCCAACAACGAAGTCGATGCTAAGTTTCCCGATGCAAACATTCCTATCAAATACACTTGCTAGCATGTGCAGAAGGGAAGGGAATGCTTGCTTTCTCCCTCCACGTCTAACCTCCCTGTCGATTGGTGCGTGTCTTATCTGCAGGGGTCCCACGCTAGCAGCACCTCGAACGCCGCAAGTTGGACACGGTGTCAATCATGGTGAAGGAGGTGCGGCTACGGATCACTGCGCGAGGATTGAAACCTGTGAGGCGCACGAGCCGACGGTCAGGCAGCATCGATGTCGATTCGATTTTCCAAGCCCAAAAGTATCTCCAGATCTGTCAGGAGTCGCTGGCTGTCTGTATGGCTGCTTTCCAGGTTCTAAGCCGCCCCAGGCTCACACTGCAGGAGCTTCGAACCCTTGCTTCCTGAAACGCATGTGACCGGGATGTTTGCCATATGTCGAGTTTTGGAGTGGAGATCATTGCTCCATCATTGTCTCCACGTCATGTGCGTTTGTGTGTGTGTGCGTGCGTGTGTGTGTGGGCGTAAGTGTAAGTGTAAGTGTAAGTGTAAGTGTAAGTGTAAGTGTAAGTGTAAGTGTAAGTGTAAGTGTAAGTGTAAGTGTGTGTGTCTTTTTTCGTCTGTGTGTGTGCGCTTTTTGAGGGCTCGCGTACACTTTGTGAGGTGAGTGTAATTAAAAAGCAACAGCAACAACCATTTTGAGCTCCTCAAAGCCTCTTCGAAAATCATATCTCAGCTCCTTGGACTGGCTTCAGCCTCGCGGTCAGCCCGATGTGCACAGGGCTCAGAGCCCTTTTTGCTACAATGCATCGGAATATTGCAAGTGGGACCAAACACGGTGCCCCGCGCGAGATCTTTCTGGAGATTTCTGAAATAGATTCAGCACACCTGGGGGGGGGTCCCCAGTCCTCTTGCTAAATTCAGCGCATCCGCCAGATCTAGTTGAACCAATCCTGGCATTCCTCTAGGAACTTCTCTAAGTCTGCCGTATCCTCACTCCTCAGAATGTCCTCCGACACGTCAGGAAGATCCTGCGTGCCGAATTCCGAAGGCATGTTGGGTCCGTCTCACGTCACAACGTGCTCTCTCAAACACTGGCAGCATGGTCTAGGGCTGCGTCTAGGGTATACGGTATACAATGTACGCTGTGAACCCTCCCGCCTTTCTCAAAACAGTTCACGAAAGGTTTGGTCCCCCTGAAAAACAAATCATGGCCATCACTTGCTCATTGGCTCACCCTTCAAACGCTAGCCAAAGGAGTCAGTGCTGCCAAATACTTGGATGTATCCCCGAGCCAAAAAGTTCAACTTGTTGCAGCTTGAAAGGAAATACGAGGGGTATCCAAAAAGTTCGAGTCTAAAGATCCAATACCTCCATTTGGTTAAGACCCATTGGAAAAAATAATAATAATTCCAGTAGTGATAGATTCCCTTTAAAACCAACAGGGGAAAATAAAACATACTCTTAAGCAAATGGAGGTAGAGAGTTTCTGTGGCTCAAGTTGCTCCCTGGAAAAGCCCCGCGGGCGAGCCTCTGGCCAGCTGCCGCTCGCGGCGGGCTTGCTGCTGGCGGCCTCCGGATCTCCGGCCTCTCCGGCCGGGGCCATGTCTGCATCCTTCTCCTGTCGGGGACGTGTTCTGCGGAGGTTCCCGTCAACAAAGCGCACTCTCTAAACCTGATTCTTGATCGGCCAGCACGAGTGCCAAACTTTTGGTCTACCACTAGAACTTCCCAAAAAAGTTGAAAGTTGCTCCAATTTGTTGGAGCTCAGGCTTGCCCGAACTGTGAGCGCAGCATTCTGCCAAATGGCTGAGTTGTGAGATCGTTGTCTCAAGGGGAAACGCAGGAGGGTAATGGACTGAGTACACGCCGGCAGTACGAACTTTGCGGGAGCGAGGGAATTCTGCGAACTCCTCGCAAAATCGCCAGGAAGGCTAAGGGGTGCGACAGCTAACATATGCAAAGGACCATAGTATTTGCACAAAATCCGAGATCTCGGGTCTGCGAAGGGGGTTCTGCACAAAGGGCGAGGGTTCTACGAAGTTCTGCGGACTGACGTCTGCTGCCCTCCTCACGTTTTCCCTTTTGTCTTCGTCCTCTAAAGAATGGGTCTGGGACAATGAGAGTGCTTACGTGTCCATCCGAGTTTTGTGACTTACATTTCATGAATTCTCGATTTCTGAGCCCCGAAGTAAGTCGAACATCATATCCTCTCCGAATGACTCTGAACCATTCACAGCCGACCCCATGGCGCTGGCCTCATCGATCACCACCGCTTCCTCAAACTCGGGCTCCATCGGCTGCATTGGCTGCGTTGGCTCCGGCGAGCCCCTTCGCAACTCCTAGGTTAGTCGCCTGTTGCCACCGTTCGTGTGTGTGACCTCTTTGCTTTTCCGAGCATTTGGAGAGAGAGAGAGTTTGCTTGGCATGGGGAGGATTCTTTTGAAATTGCCCAATGAAGTCGTCTTCAACAACCCTCAACATACGGGAACCCAGTTTGGGGTGGTCTCTGGGAAAAAACACCTGGAAACCTTTGAAGGAGGTAGCCTCCAAAGGACTATTCTTGTCAGAATTCAGTTTCGCATGCGCTTTAAGGGGTGACTGCTTGCCCAACAAGCCCACGTTGGGGCTTGAAGACTCATTATGTTTGTCCAATAAGGAGGACTGTTTGCTTGCTGCAGCAGGGAATGAAAAGCTTTCCTTTCAGATGGTCAATTGGGTCACCCTTGGATTAGCAACGGCCTTACAGTGAGTAACAAGCAAGTAGCACACATTTGGAGAGATCCAGGGACATGGGCAGGTCAAAAATTGCCGGGGGGGGCACCTGCCAACTGGTTGTTGCTGTCTCTGAGAACAAGCATCCCCCGGGGAATCTCACCTCCAAACACCAAAGAAAACTTTGTGCAGGAAATGGGCAGGGTACCTTTTTGAGGTGGCTTTTGAAGGGAAAACCACCACTTTGGGGGAATGCACGCACAATATAAAAAAAAAAAAGGCGAGTTTCCTGCGTCTCACTCGCAGCTTCGGCCTCTGCCTGCCGCCTGGCGCCGGTGGGTGACAAAAGCAATGCACTTTGGGGGAACCCTCCCCTACCGTGGATGGACGCAATCCTGCACCACCCAAGAAACAATGGGGGACCATTGTTCATTGGTATTTTCAGGGGAATCATCAATCCCAAGGTTTCTTAGGTAGGATTTCGTCCATCCAAGTATGAATCGGTCACGTTGATTGATCCGGGGGTCGCAGTACCAGCAACCCCTGTTGCGCAAAGCCAGAGACCCCGGGTTCGTGTCCTGCGCATGTCCTTTGTCCATTTTTTGGGGGTGATGCTTACAGGGCGGCCTGTTTTCTCCACGAACCGGGGGGCGGTTCGGCCCCAAACAAATCGATCAGTCCTCTTGGGAGCCGTGGAAGTTGACGCCGCTATTCAGATTATTCTCAATTGGTAGTTTGAATTGGTGGTTTGGGGAGAACCCCTGGTTCTTGTTGGGAAGCCACGCCTAACCACCAAACAAAATCACCACGCAGGAAACAAGTAAATACAAAAACAAACAAACAAACAAAAACAACAAAGCCGCCGCATGGGAAGGCTCGGCCATTGGGGGCACAGAGATTCGCCCATGGGTGCGTGTCAAAATAAGGACCCCACAAAAAAAAGTCACTGCATGTGTGGCTTTCTTGTTCGTTGGTACCTTAAGGTGAAGGGCAGGGAGCCAAAAAGGGCACAAAATCGCCCCCCGGCCTCTCTTGCTCTTTCGCCACAGTCTGAAGCGCCTGGCGCTTGGCCTTGTCCCGGTCCGTCTTCGTCACCATGCCTCGAGATCTGTTCCGGACTGGGGAATGCAAAGGCTGGTTCGGGGAACCGTCTTTCTGGGCTACATGGTTTGGGTTGGCCAATCCATTTCCAGAATTTGTTGCAGGGAAGCCGCTGGAAAGGGGACCACCATCCTTGCGTGACTCAAGGTGAGAATCTGAAGGATGAAATGCCTTTGAACAGCCCGGTCTTGAGTGAAGGCTCCCGTCAACCTGCCCTTGCTTTCCAGCAGAGCACTATCAAGCAAACAATCCAAACAAGGACCAACATTTTGAGGCCTCTTAAAAGAATCGACGAGACGACTAGGCAAGTTGCAGTGCTAATCGGACAGCTAATTCAGCCAATCACTTACAGCAGAAGCAATCAGTAGACAGTACTCCAAAGCTCCACTCCCCCGGCGCTCCCTCTTTCAAACAGGCTTTTGTATGTGTCCCCTTTCACACATCTCGTCCGCACATGGAAATGCGCTTGCAAAAGCCTAACAAGTGATGTTTCAAACTACCCAAAGCCAAAAAGAAACCCAACAAGAACCCATCGAGGGTTACTTTTGACTGGGTTCGGGATTTTGGAAGTACATTGATTCCGACCGTCAAGCTAAGGCCAAGGGGCGCTCCACAGTCCGCCGGAACTGCTGCCTCTTCGCCGCCGACATCTCGTCGATGTCAATCACCGAGTCTTCGCCGTCCTCCGTGGCATCAAATTTCTTGATCAACTCGTCCACTTTGTCGTCGCTCAGCATTTCCTTGGGCAAATGAGCCGATGCGATGCTAAGGCAAACCTGTCGGGCAACCTTTGCCATGCCTTCCAACTGCAAAGGTGCAGTACTTGGTTGAACAACTCTTGGGGCCACCATTCTTTGGCGCGCCGTGCGCTTGCACGCCCATCAACAGCAGCCCACTACAGAGAACCAAGCGACCTGACCGAGCCAACTGACGTGCGGCCCGAGCATCCACCAGGCAATCCAGGTACGCCCGTTCTTCCGCAGGAATCTCCTCGAACAAAAAATGCTGTAGTCTTTGAACACGGCAAGTGTGCAAACCTCAAACCACTCGAATTCAATCAACCATGCTCACCGCAAAAACAACAGAAACACACAATATCTCAGTGCCCAATTTGTTGGCCTCATGCCGAACCCGTCTTGGCTCCTCCTTCGCCTCGCCCGTGTCTCCCTTGGCTCGCTTGCCACTGGCCTCCTCTTCCTCTGGTGGCGCTTTCCGCTTCCTCGGGCTCTCCGCCGCCGCCCTGGCCCGCGGCTTCTCCTTAGCTTTCGCCTTCGCCTCGGGGTCGATGACCCTCGAACTCGCCGAAAGGAAGGCAAGAAAGTTGAACATGCCAAATACAAAAAAAAAGATCTCGGAAAAATACAGAAACTTACATTCTGCCCCAACTGAAAGCTCTTGGGGCTGAGTCAGGTATTGGCTTGGGGGTACTTGCTTGTGCTTGCTCGTGCTTGCTCGTGCTTGCTTGTGCTTGCGTGCGCTTGCTCGCGCTTGCTTTTGCTTGCTTGTGCTTGCTCTTGCTTGCTTGCTTGCTTGCTTGCTTGCTTGCTTGCTTGCTTGCTTGCTTGCTTGCTTGCTTGCTTGCTTGCTTGCTTGCTTGCTTGCTTGCTTGCTTGCTTGCTTGCTTGCTTGCTTGCTTGCTTGCTTGCTTGCTTGCTTGCTTGCTTGCTTGCTTGCTTGCTTGCTTGCTTGCTTGCTTGCTTGCTTGCTTGCTTGCTTGCTTGCGGTTCATGTGGGCCATTGGCTTGTCCGGCCAACTATGGACCTCGCCTAGACAACGCCTGGACCTCGCCTGGAAGCCATGTTCAAGATAGATTTTCAACCATCTTTTTGATGACTGGGAGCTAGGGTGTCTTTTCATCTAGGGGATGACTAGTAGAGAAGCGCATAAGTGACACATCTTTAAGGGGTTTGTTCCAAGGGTCTGGTGGCATAAGAAACTGCACTTTGAACTTAAAACGTATGGTTTTGAAGGTTTCAGACATTCCAATGTTGCACTTTGACATGCGATGTGCCATGCGGATTTGCACCACGTGCTCTGACTTTCGGCGCCCTGCCGTGACTTTCGGTTTTATGCGTGCCCCATGCGCGGTTGGGGTGCCCGCTGTGACTTCCGGTCCCCTGCTCTGACTTAGGGCGGGCACCAAGTAGCTTTTCAGGGAGGGTTCCTTCCGGGGCTGTTGTGGATATCACTTGTGGCTTGTTTCTTGTCTTCGGCTCAGCCCCGCCTTGGCCTTCCCCTCCGCGGCCCTGGCCGGCTTGGCCGGCTTGGCCTTCGCCTCTGGACACTCTGACTCGCGCTGAATCCATGGCACAGCCCAAGGGCACATCAGTCCGACCGAACATGTTCTGTCCCATACCAGCGGTGGCAAGACCGGTCGCCTTGTCGAAATGAAGGGACCTGTCCGACAGAAATCTGTATCCAAGGAGGTGGACATAAAGTTGTTGTGTGACAGTGTCCCAAAACACTGCAACACTTGTGGATACTGTTGTTGAGTGGATGTTGACAGTGCCGGTTGCCCTCCAAAGCAGTGGTCTTAAAGTTGTTGAGTGGATGTTGACAGTGTCGGTTGCCCTCCAAAACAGTGATCTTAAAGTTGTTGAGTGGATGTTGCTTGAAGGGCAAGCGACATGAACCCACTCATCTTCCCTGGTCTCCAATTTCCGGGAACTGATTCACAGCCGCTTTTGCCGCCCCACCAGTGCGTGTATATGCATATGCTTTGCATATGTGCACATATAAATACTATAATATGGCGGTGTCTTCTTTTTTTTGTAAGGGTGACACACCCATTTTGATTCCGGGCCATATTCGGTGAACCTTAACAGGAACAAAGTCCATTCGAGAGGTCCCCGTTGCTCACGGACCCCGTCGCCTTCGGAGCTCCCGACTTGGCCGCCGCCATGGCCCTCGAAATGGATGCCGCGGCGGGGGCCTCCTGACGCGGTTCAAAAGTGACCTCGCTGCCTTTCTGGAATTCCTTGAACATGAAATTGAACCTCCTTGAGAAACAAAACGGGTTGGTTGAGGTGACTTTCCCATGATTTCTACTAGCTGTGAAAATCACCTTGGGCGGGGCCCTCACACATCCCCGCATTCTTGGGAATAGCTTCTGAGAGGCCGGAGGAACCAGCGCCTAGGAACAACCTCGGCGCCATCAGCGGAAAGGCCTGACCCGACAGCAGGCATCGGATTCCACCGAGCTCGAACCAGTCAAGGCCAGCTCAAAACTTGAGAGCAGCTTCCTCAGAGCTCTGATCCGGCTGGCTTGAACCTTTCTGGCAAGTCCTCTGGTTCTCCAGAAGCTGACTGACCGCAACGCCATCGGTTTGACTTTGGAACTTCATGTCCGCTAAGTCGACACCCTCTCCTTTATTTCTCTCGCGAGAGAGCAAGCAGTCCAAGCGTTTGAGGTACCAAGCTTCCCGGTGGGCCTGGCCAGACTCTGCGGCGAAGGTCCAGATCTGGCATCATCCATATCTGTTTTCAGAAGTGCTCAGGTCCCACATGCAACTGTGCACAGCCTCGCAACTTCATTCCTTGACCCTCCAGACAACTGTCCACCCTGCGGCTTTTCAAAATGATATCATTGTGCTGTTTATTCTGCCTTGTCCTTCTTGAATCGAGCAAACGCATATATTGAGTCTTGTTCAAACATGGTACGTATGCACATCAACATATATTGACGATAAACAAAAAACACTCTTTAAAAACATAATGCCGAAGCAATGCTAAACAACAAATACGGCCGTCGCAGTATCACTTGTGCGGAAAAACCCGAAAAGCGAGCGGGCCCCGGCCCCCAGGCGCCGGCCGCTCCTTCAAGCACCACCTCACCGTGAGGCCCAGGTCCCTCAAAGCCTGCAAGGTGGCCTCGGCTTCCTGGGCGCTGAGCATCAGCTGGCCCTTGCGGCAAGCCTCGGCTTCAGGAATCTGGGGAAGCTCTCCGGTGGCTGGCTGTCAGGCCGGGAGTCTCTTACTCAACGGGAACCCTCATGACACACTGTCTGGAGATCCCTGGTCGAGTACAATGCTGCTGACAGCGAGCGCAGGTCTTTTTCTATCGAGTTTGAACTCTATTGGCAGAAAAAGGACCTTGAACCATAACGTATACGTGATACAATTCAATTGATTGCCTAAAAGTCAATGGTCTGCAAAACTCAGAACAAAACAGACACAAATTTCTTTTGACCTTCCATAGCCATGTTTTAGATGCGCCTTAGCCATGATTTCGAACATGTCATTAAGGTCACTCTATTTTGTGACTCGGACATGTCGGATTGTCTGGTATCTACGAGGTTTGTGCAAACTCTGCGCATGGGAAGTGACTGCAAATGTTGATACCTGATTGCGCAAGAGATTGCACGTCTGGTTGGTGCGAAGATGCATGGCTCGAAAAAGGTTAGGACTGAGGTGTCCTGTGAAACTCTCGACTCGCTCGCTTCAGGAAAAGATACCCTCATAGGCGATGAAGTTGATATCGCAATTGGAACAGTCTTGTAGAGGATGAAGTCAAGACAGTTGATCTTGCGAGGACGTCGATTGGCCGGTCATGTCATAGCGCCATCTTGCGACAAATTGGACTTGGTCATGGCTTGAGGGAGCTGATCATGGTTGTTGCTCTCCAGTACCAACGCTGATGGTAGAGCAAGTAACTAATGCGCTTGTTGTAACCCTCCCATTCCTTCATGCGCTGGTTGCTGACTTTCTTGGTCTCACTCTTGCTCTTAATCTACACAATGAAAGGAGCATGCCAGTCGCCGTCGATCCCTGTGTTCATGAGCATCTTGTTTGTGACGCGCTTGAACAGCTCTGCAGAGGATACCTGATAGTCGCTGATGGCCACGCCTGGGTCATGTTCGCACGCTCGCTTCTGGTCCTCATCGAAGGTGTCTGCTTCCTGCTGTTCCTCTGTCCTGCCCCCGCTGAGGATGAACAAGGAAAGGTCCTTTCATATAAAGATCCCTTCTTGGTGTGAAGCACATGGCGGAAAGTCACGCGGATGCTTGTGGTAGCAGTCTCTATGGCCGGCTCTGCTTCTCAACGTGAATCTGATGACCTGATGGTTGACACTGTGTGGAAATCCCTGGTCAACACAATGTCTGAATGAGCGCAGCGATGCCTTTTTTCTATGGCGAGTCTGAACTCTATTGGTAGAAAACGGGGCCGTGCGCCATAATGTATACGTGATACAACTGAAGTCGAGTCTGCAAAACACAGAATGGGGGGGGAGCCTGAACAATGATGAGTCGGGCCTGAAAAATGGCGAAGGTCGCGTGTTTTCCGTGTTATGGAAAAGCCCAAGACGAGATCATGGAAGAGCGGTCTTGATGGATTTGTGTCAAACCCGCAGAATCGATATCAAACACAGTAGAAACCGAACCTCAAAGTGCGCTTTGGTTCAGGACAGGAGGAACATCATTCCCATTTTCGCAGAACATCTGGCCAGGCAAGGCATCAAATGCAGCATGCCAAGTGACAGCGAGAATGCAGGGGCCCAGGCAATCGTTCAAAAAATGCAAATGCGATTCGAGCAAGGCCAATGGAAACTGGCCGTCTCGGACGGAAATCATAGACATGCATGAAGCGGCAATCTGTGACCGAGTTATTTCCTTATCTCGCATGAACTCCACCTAAGCTCATCTGGCTTGCGACCAAAGCTGCTTGGTAGTTGACCGCGGTCAACTTCGGTTTTTGCGGCATGGCGCTGCGCAAGCCGCCAGCCCAGTTGGGCCGAATCGAGACAAGTGACTGCCCCCAAAATTGGCAGATGAATAATCCCTGCCTGCAACCAGAGCGGATGGGAGCACAAAGGAAGTCAAGCGCGCAGCTGGATCTTACCTGACTTGGTGGGGGCGTTGTCAATGTTCAAGCTTCTTCAGAGCAAGCTGTGGTCCGAGCAACAGCGAGCAACGGCATACCATATTGCAAAATAGCGCCACGCAACACCATCTTCTCTGCAGCCCTGGCTAAGTTGCACGTCAAGCAACTTCGGCATGGGCTACCCGAGTTGCAGCGTTTTCTTTTTCGCTTTTCGGCACGGAATTCTGGGGAAACAAACCAATCAACACGCTGAGTTATATGTCTGGGCAGAAAAGACCAAGGCTTGGCACCGTGCACGGTCTAGGTTCTTGCAACTCGATGCATTTGACAGCATGTGCGTGGCCCCAGCAGAACGGGTCGCGGCTGGATTCGCAAAGAAAAGGGGAAACAAAAAACGTATCCGGGCCCCAGCAGAACGGGACGCCAAGCATGGTTGTTCCAAACCTTGCTGATCTTCAGGAGGGTGCCGGTCATTGATAGGATTGGCAATTCGTGAAACTTCCGCAAGTGAGGACGAGAAGGTTCCCCGCACTCGTCGCACACACTTAGATGGTCAGGGACTTAGCTAAATGGTTAGTAACCATGGCTCAGAGGACTTAAAACCACTTACGACCATTTGGTGGGTAACCAGTGTCTGTTGCCGCTTAAGTCGCAGGCCATTGTGTATTGTAGAATGATCATCTGGCGCTGGTAGCCCTCACTCTTCGCCAACAACGGGATACAACAAATCAGAGCCTCACGCGTTGGTTCTTTTTTCGCGCGCAAATCGCTCGAACCTCAAGGCAAGGCGCCAATCAGCCGAACGCATGATAACTGCGTGGCACTGGCTACTGGCTAAATCACATATGATCCAACATGGCAATCAACCTTCAGGTTAACGTCTCGTGCTTGCTCAACTCGAAAATCAGGTTTTGAGAATGAAAGCAACGGAGAACTTGTTGGTATGTGTGAGCTCATTTGAAGCCAATCAGCTAAGGACACTTTGCAGCTTGATTCCACCAGCCTTTTTACAAGTGTTGGATGCCTGCTTCTCAGTCGCCGCCGGCCCTGATCAAGGTGACCGCTTGATCAAATGCCCCATGTGGCTGCGGCTCAAAACACCTTGTGCACAAATGAAGCCGTGCCACACTACCCCTATTGTGATCCTGGCATTGCCAGTGCCGGTGACAGTAGACCACCTCTTCTAAGCAATTGGACTGTCTCAAAGTAGCCACACTTCATGACCGATGTGCCGATGTGTCTCTTTTGCGGCGTCTTGGTGCTTTCAAAGCAGGTGATTCACACTCCCGTGCCAATGCTTGCCAACAACGGTCACATCGCTTCTTGGCTTCAAGCCAAGAGCGTCAGTCGCTTACATCACCTACCGAACATAAGAAATCCCCGTGAAAAGAAGCCTCATCATGGGATGTCGGTGGCAAGCAACCCCAGACAAAAATAATGGTTTCCTTGTGCAGTGTAGCTCCGAACTGAAAGATGTGATTTCCCCCCAACTAGATCCCTGGTCTGCCCACACCGGTCTTTCTGGCCCCCAAGCGAGGATCGCGGCAACGAGTCAGCCAAGCTGAGCTTGTGCCAAAAGGGCAGCGATCAAAAGAAGTGGTGGGGTTGGTTGTAAACCTTCTTGTAGAGGAAGCTGTATACCAAGAGAACTGGGAGAAACTGGGTTTGTCTGCAAACGTATCGGAGCACACCCTTGAGGTATCTATAGTGGGTGCCTTGCGACTCCCTATCAGGGCGCGGGGGGAATTTGAGCACCCACTCTGACTGAGGCAATGTTAACTCCTTCCTTGACCGTGCCCGACTGTTGACCTTGGGACAGGGTGGGGCGGGGTGGGGCGGGGTGGGGGAATGTCAACATCCGCTCTGACTGCGTTCATTGAGAAGTTGTTGGCTTTCGGTTTGGGGCGGGGTGGGGGGGAATGTTAACGGATTCTTCTTTGACTGCGCGCAGCATTTGCCCAACTGTTGAAAATGACCTGTTCATGACCCGCAAAAGCACAAGGCTCAAAGGAAAAAGAAGCAAGACCCCCTCGCGGGGTTGGCAGTTTGCTTTTCCCTGCCTACACAAGGAATCGCTGTCTTGGATGCAGGCACTGGGTGTGTCTCAAACAAGGGAGAGGACGCTCTTATCCCTAAGCTCATCACAAATCGGTTCACCTGGTTCCAAATTGTGTTGGAGTACGACTTTGATCGCGGCCAACGCGTGCAAACAAATTACACCAATTACGTGCTCCACACTGGAGCGTGTTCCAAGCGAGTTGCGTCCACCAGTCACTCGGCAGCCTGGCCAGATTCACTGAAGAAACATGCACGGCGTGTGGGCTTTCGTTGGGTGTGGAACTGTTGCTGGCTAAGCATCGTGAGCTCGCCAACAACTTGGATTACCCTCCTGGAACCAAGCATGTCGAAGCGATCTCTTGCCGCTAAGGGGAGCCTCCAATGAGCGGGTGTAGTCGCGCTTGTCTTGTTGCAGCTTCTTTGAAACAGCTGGTCAGGGTTCCTTAAAGGATTCATCTACACACCACCTGCAAGCTATGGGGAGTCGTCTAAATCGGCTTGCAGTTGCTTCCATTTGGTTAAGACCCCTGGATTATATATTTAAAAAAAAGTCCAGTATGGGTAGATTCCCTTTACAACCAACAGGGAAAAACTATATATATATGTATATTCATTTCAGCACATGAACGGATCGAAGGGACCCTGTCGGCAAAAAAAAAAAAAAACGCGTGGGCAGCGCCCGCTTCGCCCCGCGCTTCTCCTCGTAGGCCACCTGCACCTGAGCTCAGGGCATGGGGATGGGTGGGGGTGGCTTGCGACTTGGGGCCTTCCGGCGCGGAACGGGCCACAAAAAGTCACTGGTGCTGCTCTCAAACACAAAGAGACTGGTGACTTCTTGTGGCGCTCCAAGCAAAGAGAGACTGAAACGGGTGGTTTCCTGGTAGCTTTCCTTCAACTACCAAGAATAAGTGCAACTCTTCGAGCGGTTGAGTGCGGGCATCTGAACTCGTTGCGGCTGGTACCACTCTTCCATGTGAGGCATGGGAAGCAGGAAAAGGGTGGCACTCTTCCCAACTGGTTCACCAACATGATCTTCCCAACATGTCTACTCCCAAAAACTTCAACAGTGAGGAAATTATGCGGTCGCCAGTAGAAGAAACGCCTGTAGCTAACAGTCTCAAATGCTGTAAGCATGGGTGCACGTTGCGGCTGTAAACGACAGACACACCCGACAATGCAGGTGCGGGCTATGTTTCGAAACCAGTTGCCAAATGATTACACCTTGGAGAGTCCCTGCTTCATGTTAAGCCAACTTTGTGAGTGCACTAGATCCCAATAAAGCTCGGCACCCGTGATTCCCGCGATCCAGGAAGCACAACACAAATCTTGCCAACCAGTGCCCAGGTGGGACGGATGTCACAACTGGGCTCACTTCTTGTGGCTCTTAAAGACCAGTCGAATTCCCCGGTGCCCCCACGGCGTTGCCTGATTGGCGTCGTATTCTTCGTTCTTCAGATGCTTCACCTGTGGCAAAGCGAGCTCGCGGCCTGGAGACATGGGGGTCAACGTGCAGGGAAAACAACGCACAAACAAACGGAGAAAAACAAACACAACCAACGCAGGGAGACGAAGAAATATGGCTAAGCATGGCATCCAACTAAAAAATAATGGGATTTGGCGAGCTTCTCACAGCTGCGAAATTGCTGTGATAGATGGTCTGGACATCATCATGTTGTTTCGTTTAGCACAAAGCCAACATCCAAGGTCTCCGTTCCACCTCGACTCTGCCTTCCAACCCACTGAACGAGTCGAGCGAATTCAGCCCGGGGGCTGCGGTATTCTTGGCTTCCTCCAGGCGCTCGCGCTCCTCGCGCGGTATTCCGATTGGGGCCTGAGGTGTGGCCCTGGTTCACCGCCGCGTTTTCTTGCAGTTGCACGAGGCCTCCATTTTTGCAACGTTCCTTGCCCTGGGGAGAAAAAAAAACACATACTTCCGATAGTGATAGAATCCCTTGAACACCAACAGGGGGAAACAAGCCTTGAGAAAATGAAAGATGGTTTTGACTTCAGACTGTTGCAGTGCTGAGTCCAAGATTGCAAATTGTGAGTTACCAAGATGCGAAGGCAAGCTCTGATGTGACAGCCTAAGCCGCCGCTCTCATTCTCTCCCCACAAATGAATCCACCGGGCGCCTTGGTAGTACAAGTAGCAGATTTGCCATGCTTCTCAGTACATATCAACGTGGCTAAAAATATATATCTGCTCTGGGGGCGTATGATGTCTACATAGAGCTCCCTCAAAACGTGCAGTCATCCATTCGCACATAGCTTGATGCAGTTCCAACAAGGCCTCGCCTGGATGCTAAGACCCCAAAAGAGCTTCCAGCCAGCTTCCTTGCCATCACAAGGGGTCTTGCAACACCTGTCCCATCACCTCCACCGGGCAAACTCTAGCTGGCAAAGCAACGGCCACGTACAATTTGCCCAAACCTTTTTGAGGATCCCCTGCTCTACTGTAAGGAAGGAAACCAAAGGCCAGGAAAGGTCTATTAAACCGGTCCTCACCAGGATTCTGGGAACCTTTCTGGTAGAGCGACCCTGGCTCCCCTTTCTTTCGCAAAAAGCACCCAAGCTTCCATTTGCTTAAACCCCCTGGAAAAAAACATAAAATAATATGTCCCGTAGTGATAGATTCCCTTTAGAACCAACAAGGGAAAAACATCTTAAGCAAATGGAAGGAAGCAAGTCGCATCTGGCACACGGGCCTTCTCGCGCTTCTCAGCACGGGCGTGCAGGGCCTGCAGCAACGAGTCACTGGTCACAGCTTCAATCAGGCTTCTTTGTCCTAGATCAGCCCAAGGGCTTCCCTAGGAAAGACCAAGCTACTCAGCTTTTAAGACTTATCCGGGGATGATTGGAAAGGTCCCCAAAC